GGTGCACCCACTTGCAGAAAACCTGAGAGGACTTTGGAACTCCTTGGGCCATGGGCTTGTGGGTTCTCACCAAGGTTTGTTAGTTTTCTAAGAAACAGGAGGCCCCCCAGATGCCACTTGGGTTAAAAGAGAATATGTCTTTCTTCCCCTAAAACTAATTAAACAGCCTGATTATCCTGCTTAACATCAAACCACCACAGGAACGCATCCCAAAGCAAAGAATGAAGGGACATAACACCCCGACTTTGCTTGCACTCCACAGGTCTTATGTGGCACCCAGCTTCTCTCAGTGAAAGGTGGTAAACTGGGACAGACCCAACAAGCAGGAGTGGACAATGCCTCTCCAGAGGCACCCCAACCTCTTTGAAATTAGTCCTCAAAACGTCAAGCTCATGTAGTGTGACCCCACCCTGACCCTCTCCCACCTACCCTATACTCATGGCCCTGCCACCAGTCTCAGCCACTTGTAGGCACCATCCAGTCCACCCTGTGGGGCTGGGCAAATCAAGGGAATGACAGGTTGCAATGTATATTCTTAAAAAGATTACTCTGGGGGCACCTGGATGGCTCTGTCATTTAAGCATCCAACTCTTGACTCAGGTCCCAATCTCATGGCTCCTTGGGCTCCATGCTCAGTGAGAGTCTGCTTGGATATTCTCTCCCCCTGCCCCTTCCTATACCACTCCCCCTTCTAATAAATCTTTAAAGAAAAAAAGATTACTGTTGGGGCACCTGGGTGGTTCAGTCAGTTAAGCATCTGCCTTTGGCTCAGGTCGTGATCCTAGGTTCCTGGGATCAAACACCACATCAGGCTCCCTGCTGAGGGGACCCTGCTTCTCCATCTGCCCCTACCCTTGCTTGTGCTCTCTCTCTTTCAAATAAAGAAATAAAACCTTAAAAAAACTACTCTGGCTGATTTGGGAAACTAGATTGTGTGGGGAGCAGAGTGGAACAAGAGATGGGATCAGAAGCTGAGACGAACGTGCATGACGGCAGCCTGAGCTAAGGGGGACCTGGGGCAAGGAACTGAGCACAGGTAGATGGGAAAATCAGCCACTGAACTGGCTCAGAGATGGGGTGAGGAAATGGCTCCCCGAGCTAGCCTGGACAAATGGACGGATGGCAGTAATAGTATCTTCAGATGGGCAAGGGAGGAGGCTGACAGGTTGGGTGAGACTGGAGAGCAGAGGAGGGATGACCAACAAGTTAAAGAAGCTCCAGCTTCTGAGGTCACAATCTGCACAGACACCTCCATGGTCCTGTACCGCATTTTGCATTCAAAATGCTGTGTTCTCCTTCTTAAAGAGGGCCCCCAAACTGCCTAAGTGTTAGGCCCTACAAAACTGGGGAGGGGATGATCAATACTGCTGGGCAAGTTAATTAAAATGTGCATGACACATCCAAGGAGTCAGATTCGATGTCAACTGCATCATCCTGGAGCTCACAAGAGAGCCAGACATCCAGGAATTAGTGGTTTAAAATCACGGAAATGAATAAAACTGGCTTGTCCAGTGTTTGTCACTGCATCTGGATCACATGGGAATCAAGATACGGATTCTCAGGTCTCATTCCAGATCCACTGGACTATTTGGAGATATGGCCCAGAAATATGTTTTAACAAGTTTCCCAGATCATTCTTATGCACAAAAACATGTGAAAATGGCAGATCTCAGGAGAAAATGTGGAGAAACAAAAGAGGACCCAGGATGGGCCGAGGAGCTGCCAAGTGGAGGGGACAGTGGGCACAGATCATTTATCTGGTTATCAATAAACTTAAACATTTTCATATACAAATGTGAATTATCTATTAATAGCCTTTGCCCATATTTCTATCAGATTTTCTTTTTTCTATTGATTTCCAAGACTCTATGCCTGTTATCTGTCTTGCAAGTATTGGCTTTACTAACTTGTCACCTGCCTTTCAACTTTGTTTATGACATCTTTTTTCTTACAGAAGTATAATGTTTCACAACATTAAATCAATATTTTCCTTTATGGTTTCTGAGTTTTATTAAAGTCGTCAAACTCCAATAAATAACTCCAAAGTTATTTTTAAAAACCATCTCAGGGGCAGCCCGGGTGGCTCAGCGGTTTAGCACCACCTTCAGCCCAGGGCATGATCCTGGAGACCAGGGATTGAGTCCCATGTCGGGCTCCCTGCAGGGAGCCTGCCTCTCCCTCTGCCTGTGGCTCTGCCTCTCTCTCTCTCTTTCTCTCTCTCTCTCTCTCATGGATAAATAAATAAAATATTTTTAAAGACCCATCTCATCTACATATGTATTTTAATGTCTGTAATTCGGTTTTGACATTTAACCTTTAAATGGAATGTAGTTTTATGAATGGGGTAAGGCAACCGTCTTAACAGACTTAACCATAGTCATTTCTGACATACCTTCAATTCCTGCCTTCACAACACAACCATTTCTGACTCCCCATCCCTGGTCCCGTAGGCTACATTTTGAAATCTGGCTGAACAATTCATTTCAGAATGTACTGCCTCCCAGGACAAAGCTACTTTTCCAGGTAAACTTCATCAGTCTGTAAAAATTAAAGTTAAAGGGTTGGCTTAAACTAATAAAGATCTCAAGACCTTTCAGTCTTGCTTAGTCATTGGAGCATCAGCCTTGGGCCAGAGGATGGCCTTACTTCCTAGTGACTCACACGCTACACAGAAATCTCAGACTTCATGGAATTTTGAATTTACAAACCTCGCAAGAAAAACGCTCTGACACTACAATTTGGCCCAGAGGCCCACACAGCCTCTTTGTGACTCAACTAATGTGTGTTCTGAACCTTGCCCCATTTTCTCCCCAGTTTTTATGCTCCCGGCTCATACCTTTCAGAGCTGCTGATGACCTTCCTGAGTCACAGTAAAGTGGTTCAGCTAATAACGTGACATGCCAAAGGATATTGTATTTTGAGAGGCACTTCCAGAAAGATGTGCTGGCCTCACATACTGCGGCGACCTAGCAGGAGAGGAGGGAGTCTTTTGGCATCTCATAATTTCTTCACCTAGCACCACTTACTTATTCCAAAGGGAAACAAGTGAGTGTGAGGGGAAGAAGAGCCCAGCAGACCTGGGTTTTAGCCCCCTTTCCATTTCTAATTAGCTGTGTAGTTCAGATTAAGTTACTCTGCCTCTACACGGGGCCTTTGCTGCCTCATTCATAAAATGAGATTATTGGAATAGAATGATCATTTCTAACCTTGCTTTCCACCACAGGTGACCCTTTAAGAATCGGAAGCAAGCTGTGCACCCAGAATAATGCCCCTTTGCACTTGAGTATAAAATCAGACATTTTCAGGGGACTCCTAGATCCCCTAAAACCTGTATCTGTATTCCTAGGCTCAAGATCACGGAGACCTACCACAAGCTGTTAAAAATAACAGAGAATACAACAAATGTATACAGAATCACAAAACTTGAAGTGAAGTTGAATCATTTGCAAAACTGGGAGCATCTCCTCTGCAGATACTGGGAGGAGGGAGGAGTTAGTTAGGGAAAAATAAATCAAAGTGCCATTAAGACTTGCCCTTGGGGAGCCTGGGTGGCTCAGCGGTTGAGCATATGCCCTTGGCTCAGGACATGATCCCGGGGGTCCTTGGATCCAGTCCCGCATCGGGCTCCCTGCAGGGAACCTGCCTCTCCCTCTGCCTATGTCTTTGCCTCTCCCTCTGTGTCTCTCATGAATAAATAAAATCTTTAAAAAAAAAAAAAAAAGACTTGCTTTGATTGAATCCTGACTCAGCCTTTCACATACATTTACAGGGGACTGGGTGAGAGCACCCATTCCAGAACCAGGCTGCCCAGTTCAAATCTTGGCCCCATCACTAACTAGTTGTCTGCCCTGGACTCTGTGCCACAGTTTCTTCATCTGTAATAAAAAAAAAAAAAAAGGAGGGTGAGGGGTAGAGGTTGTACCAATCTCAAGGACTATTAATAATATACATAGGGTATTGAAACAGGGCCTGGCCTATAGTGGGCTCTAAGTAACTATCAGCTATTACAGAAAGGTGGCACACATTTGCTGAGTGGTTAAAACTGTGAGCTGTGAAGTTTAGGGAAGTCTTAAATATCTTGATGCCTTAGTTTCCCCCAAATGTAAATAGGATCTGCTTCATAAACTTTTTGTGGGGATTAATGAAGCTGTCACATAAAAACTCTCACCATGCCTACCATGTAGTAAATGCTCAATAAATGTCAGCTATTGCTATTAACAATTCTGGGAGGGAAAGGTGATCATTACCTGTTTTTACATTTCCGAATAAAGGCTAAGTTAGACAGTGTGCCCTGCCGATATAGTACCTCAGCTAGCAAATGACTGTGTCAAGACTTCAACTCTGATGAGTCTGAAACCAGAATTTGTAATCACAAACCTGTACTATCTCTTATTTGAACAGGGCTAAGAGAGCATAAATGCTGATTCATACTTACTACTTACCAAGAGAAAGAACAGAGGTGGGCGGTAACAGTCTAAAATTAGGGGTATCCTCCACAGAGGTCAACCCTGACTTTGACAAAAAGCCCTTCTTGCCACTCTCCAAAATGAAAGACTACAGAGGCTGGACCCGTCTCAGCCAGTTCTAAGCTTTTCGCAAGTGGTTGTTAAACCACAGCAATGACACCGAAAGAGGAAAAAAGAAGCCATTTCCTACAATAGCTTCACTAACAAAGTGAACCTTTTAAAACGAAAATAGAGATCCTAAGGCTGAAAAAAAGATATCAAGACTGCTCCGAAGCCACGTGAAAACTGCCATCTAGAACACAAACGTCAGTCTTGCACTAATACATTTTTATTTAGCAGAGAATGACAGTTTATATCTACTTTGGGGACATCAAGCTCCAGGAGGCCTTCCCCTAAGTAGAATAAGAGGAAGTTCTCCCCACAGCCAAGAGTGGCCCGGAGAGAAGTGCAGTGCCAAGCAAGGACCCCTGGTGAGGGGCCGCCTCACCTGAGCAGGTGGGTAGGTCCCCAGGCTTCCCACACCAATTTCCTCACCGGGGAGCCGGGATGGTCGGCACTGGGCCTTTGTGAAATGGGCGGCAGAAGAAACAGGATGATCAGCTCAATAGAAGTCGGTGCTCGTCACGTTGCTTCCCTTCTTCATACACTGACTTCTAAAGGGGATTTCATTTTTGGACCTTTATCCAGAGCATCCCCAGGGGTCCGTCTTAAGTCTACCGCTGCTCGGAACAAAAGAGGCCCGAGGAAGAGCCAGCACTGGAAGCGACTGGCACAAGGGCAGGCGCCCTCACCTCCCGTGCCCAGCGCCTCCCTCCCGCGGCTCCCGCTGGCTCTCCCCGGCCTCCCCCTCACCCCTGCCGGGCGCAGCCCCGGGGGAGGCCAGCGAGCTCTGCACTCCGACCGGCCCCTGCCCGAGCCCGCGCCCCCACCCCCACCCCCCACCCCCCACCCCAGGGTGGCAGTCAGATGCCCCCTGCAATCCAGGCCTGTCTCTGCTTCCATCTGGGCTGAAGGTCTCCCCCCACCCCTCCCCGGGCCTCAGTTTCCCCGTCCTTAAAACCTAAGATTTGAAGGAGGTCACGTGAAAGCCTCGATCCTGCTCCAAATGTCCAATTCCATCATTCTTACAAGTAAACGTGTCTTGCAAGGAGCAGACGCCCTTCCTTTCGGGCGGGACGGGTCGCCCCGCGTGCCGGTGCCCACTGCCCACAATAACCCGCGTAACCTCACACAAGTACTATGCATCAGAACTGAAAAACAGGCTGTTGCTTTCCCGCGGCACCAAAGCTGCTCACCATCACCACCATCACCATCATCACCACCATCACCATCATCAATCACCACCATCACCATCATCAATCACCACCATCACCATCATCAATCACCATCATCACCACCATCACCACCATCACCACCATCACCATCATCACCAGTCAACGTGGGTTTTCTGTCGGGCCTCTTCCCTCAATCCCGCAATCCCAAACCCCCGCCTACCCTTCCCGATTTCTAAACTCAAAGCCACCCCCTTGGTGGGTTTTAAAAAAGAAAAAAAACAAACCCACCCCACCCGGCCTGGTGTAAGGAGTCCGAGCACTTTCTCTGGCACCCCGGCTCCCACCTCCGCCCCACCCTCCCCGGGTGTCCCTACCCGGGTGTCCCTGGACCCTCTCCCCGGGTGTCCCTGGTAACGCTCTCCAAGCCCCCCGCCGGCCGCCGACGAGCCGACCATTTCTTCCGCCCCCCACATCCCTGCCGGGAAGGCGGCAGCTCCCCGCTGCGATCCCGGGCGCCCCAAGCTCTTCCCAGCCCGCAGGCAGCGGCTCCGGGGGGCTGTGATGGGGGCGCAGCGGGGCCCCCTGGAAGGACGAGGGCGGCGGGCTCGCCGCGGTGCCCACCCCGCAGGGCTCCTGCCACTTACGGCTCCTCCGCGCAGGGCCGAGCCGGCGGACTTTGCTGACTCAAAGGCGCGGCGGCGGCGGCGACGAGCGCCCAGGAGCGCCCCCGAGCGCAGCCCCGCGCGCCCCGCGCACGTAGCGGCCCCGCGCCCGCGCCCGCGCTCGGCGCCCGCAGACCTCGTGGGGCCGCCCGGCCGCCCGCTTCCGCCGCCCCGGCCGCCGCCGCACCGCCCCGCGCCGCGCAGGTGCAGCCCCGCGCCGCCCGCGAGCCCCGCCCTCCCGCCGCCGAAGGCCCGCAGGGGCTGCCGCGAGCGCTGCGGCCGCCGGGGGGCGCCCCGGAGCCCGGATTCCGCGCCCCCCTCCGCGCGTCCCCCAAAGCCCGCGAGGGAGGCCAGCGATACCCGCCCGCGCTCGCCGGGGCGCCGAGGCTGAAGGTGCCCGCGGCATCGTCCCGCCTCGCCGCCTGCCGGCCGCCGGGAGCCTCCTAACCCCGCCCCCTTAGTGACCCGGAGGCCTGCTGCCGGGGGAGAGAGACGGATGGATAGATCTGGGACCAACTAGAAAGGTGGACCCTAGGCGGTGGCCCCTATGGGGGTGTTCGCTGTAAAATTCTTTCAGCCTTGCTGTGTGTTTGAAATGTCTCGTTAATAAAACTTCTAGGGGCAAGAAATGAGATGTGCCAAAGGGGCCCGAATCAGGAAACCATCTCCCAAATGGCACCCTGGGCTGAGTGTGGCCCACCTGTTCGCTTGGGAAACCCCCAGAATCGCTTAAACAGCACCTGGATGACCACGGGCCAGAATGCTAACGCAGCTTTATACATCATTTTTACAAGCACGAATTTTCCCGAACGACACAGCCGGCTGCAGATTATCATTCAGGGCCATTTCAGGCCCACTAGAAAAATGTGCATATCTGTCCTCCACACCTAAACTGACTCGGCATAACAAAACTTCTAAATCTACAATGTTAGCGTATTAACGTCCTGGATCCTGAACATGCATGCACTGGTGTTGGCAAAATTTAACAGAGTAAATTTTAAAGATTTTCTTGGCTTTATTCACCGATTCACGAATCGGGCTGCATCCCAACTAGCAGCTAGAAAGGAGCTCCATGAAAGATTTTGTAGGCAGAAGGGAGCAGGACAAGTTATGGGAACAAAAAGCAGGTTGGTTGTGCACGGATTATTTCCCTTTAGGGTTTAGCAGGGGCCTCTCAAGCAGAGTCCCTAGCCGGTGCTAACCAGATTATTCCTGATTGACTGGTTTAAGATTCCATTTCTGGGAGACAGCGGAACTGTAAGGAAGTCTCAGTTTGGTGGTGTGGGGCTTAGCATAACTGACTCCATCTGGGGCCCTGTCTTGTTTTTAACATCGCTATTTAACTTCTAAAAATCGCACACAAGTCATAATACACAGTGAGTGTAAACATGATCGCTTTTGAAAATCAAATTAAAGTGTATGTTTCAAATTCTTGTTCCTCTGCCCCACAAAAGCATTGACTGGAAAACAAAATGCAGTGTATGTCTAAGATCCCAAGAGATTCTGGAAAATTAAAAACTTTCGGAATATTATCATTTCCAAAGCACAACTTTACAACCGTAGACAGAGTAGCAAAAAAAATCTTTGGGGAGTCTATAGGAGGTCATTTAAATATCTGTTAGAATTATGACCCTCAACAGGAGAAAGAAAATTATCATATGGTTTCACCCATATGTGGAATATAAGAAATAGTGAAAGGGATCATAAGGGAAGGAGGAGAAACTGAGTGGGGAAAAATTAGAGATGAAGATAAACCATGGGAGACTCTTGACTCTGGGAAACAAAGGGAGGGTTGCTGGAGGGGAGGTGGGAATGGGGTAACTGGGTGACCGGCATTAAGGAGAGCCAGTGTTGTGATTAGCACTGGCTGTTATACTATATGTTGGCACATTAAATTTTAAGTAAGTAAATAAATACTTAAAAAAAAGAATTATGAACCTAACAGAACAGAAGAAAAGAAAAAGAATTCAGAATAGAATGAAGCAATAATGGAGTATTTTAATCCATTCCATGGGTGTAGCAGCTGGATGGCATTACTGGTGTTACTGGTTTAAAATTATAATGTGCAGCCTGAATCCAGAGGATGGAGCTAAGTGACTACCACCTTTTTAGGTTCTGACTTTGTTCGGACACCTGGGTAGCTCAGCCGTTTAGCACCTGCCTTCTGCCCAGGGTGTGATTCTAGAATCCTGGGATCAAGTCCTGCATCGGGCTCCCTGCGTGGAGCCTGCTTCTCCCTCTGCTTGTGTCTCTGCCTCTCTCTCTCTGTCTCTCATGAATAAATAAATAAAATCTTTTAAAAAAAGGGTAAAATACCTCAAAAAATTTGTATTTAATAATCCAGGTAAAATTCTTGGAACTCTTCTGGGTACATAATAAGTACATTTATTACTATGACACTATTATGATTTTATTATAATTGTTATTAAATTTGATCCTTTCTCTAATCTCTTCCATCTCCAAGCTGCCCTTAGTAGACATATTAAGGAAAGCCACCTCCAGTACCCTGCCTCTAGCTCAAAAGTCAGTAAGAAGACATTGAATTCTTCCTCCAACCCCTGGGAAAATTACAAAATCCACAGACAGTAAAAATGGAAGTTGCCTGGACTCAGTGTTCAGAAATTTTAATTAACTGATACTATACATAAACATTAAAAACTCTTTATCTTTAAATTGACATGAACGGTCCTGCCTGCCTTCTTGAAAAACATTGTCACGGTAGATATAATGTGCAGAAAACAGTTTTTATCATTCATCAAACAATAAGGGATGTGAGCAAAAAGAGTAAACAAATTGCAAATCATTTGGATTTTTATTTCTGATCTTACAATCATAATCTTTTTGGAATAGTATAAAGACAGATTAACATGAATAAAAATAACGACTCTGACCATTAATCTAACATGTTTTTTCCAAATACCTGTCTTATGCACCCCTGCCAAACAATGACTAAAGAAAACTTTTGAGCCTGATTACCTATTTGTAAGATAAAGGGGTTTCGACTTCTCACCCATCAACTCATCCATTCCACCTTCCTTATTTTTGTTAGAGAACTACCTTTCTCTCAGTTAAAGGCCTCAATCCTACCAACTTCGGCACTGCCTTTGACCTGCTCCCTTCCCCTATCCACACAGACCCAAGTCCCATGCATTTCACTGTGGTCAGAGCTTGCTGTTTCCTCACCTTCTGCTCTCCATTCTCCTATCCAGCTCTACTCTCTCAGAATCCTACAACATATTCTTTACTATGGTCCATGTTAGTGGTTCTCAAATATTTTTAGCAGGAGATCCTTTTTAAAATAGAGCCCCCTTGGGGCACCTGAGTGGCTCAGTGGTTTTAAGCATCTGCCTTTGGCTTAAGTCATGATCCCAGGGTCCCGAGATGGAGCCCCACATTGGGATCCCCGCTCAGTGGGGAGTCTGCTTCTCCCTCTGGCCCTCCCACTCCCCCACCTCATGCTCTCTCTGTCCCTCACTCTCTTTCAAATAAATAAAATCTTTTTTTAATCTTAAAAATAAAATAAAAATGAACCCCCTTTATAAAACCAGTATAAACAGTATTGCATTACTATACATTTATTTGAAAATTTTGATTTTGTAACATTTGTATATCACAAAGAAATCCAAGACTACTGGAAGCTGCTTTGTTGAACACCAGCATTTGAAATCAGGGACTTGTGAATGATTTTTGGAATGTCCTATCAGGATCAACATCCAATTTATTTCTGTATTTGATGGCTCAATATTGAAATATCCTAATCTACTTAGAGAGCTGTTTAGTCAGTTTGTAAACAATTTAAGATTTTCTTCAATCTAAACTATTTAGAAGTTTGAACGAGGGCTAATCAAAATTTTTGTTTCAAAGATGAAGCACTAAGAATATAGAACACATCCTCGTGTTTTATTGCGAATAGAAAACACAGGTCAGGGGGCGCCTGGCTGGCTGGGTCAGAAGAGCATGTTACTCTTGATCTCTAGGTTGTGAGTTCAAGCCCCACATTGGGTATAGAGATTACTAAAAATAAATAAATAAACTTTAAGAAAAAAAGAAAAGAAAAGAAAATGCAGGTCAGAAAACCAGTATTTACAGTAGGTACTAACACGTATATAATGGGAATTATCACCATACCACATGCTATGTGGTCACTTGCCTTTACACAACCATATAAAAAAAACTCTCCCATGTTTCCCCTTTACTCTCACGTGACTGCTGCATCCACAGCACTTCTGACACCAGATGTGTGGGTTTTCCAAGCAATTCTGCAACACCAGATGGGTGTCCTACAATTCAATTCAGCCCTGACACTATTTCCACGGAGTGTCAGATGCCATAGGTTAAGTGTTCAGTCCCTTGAGAGACTGCCTGCAATTCAGGTGCCAAGTGCAAGTTCCAAGTTGTCACCTGTACAGATGGTTCCTGACTAATGATGGTTCAATTTAGGATTTTTTTACTTAACGGTGGTGCAAAAGTGATATATCTTCACCAGAAGAAACTGTACTTCAGATTTTGAATTTTTATCTTCTCCCAGGCTAGTGGTATGTGGTATGATCTTCTCTTGCAACACCAGTCCCTTTCCCCTTCCTAAAGGATAGGAAGTGGAGTGGAAAGTTCCAAGCTTCTAACCATGGTCTGGTCTTTCTGGTGATCAGCTATCCATGAACCCACCCAGAGTTGCCTCATTAAAACAAAAGGCACTCCAAAGGATCTTGGAAATTCCAAGGGATTTAGGAGCTCTGTGTCATGAACCAGGGTGGAAAACAAATATTAGAACAGATTTCCAAATGTTCTTATCACTTAGGAAATTACAAAGACCTTAGGAATCCTATGCCAGAAAGCTGAGGCAGAGATGTGTGTGTGTGTGTGTGTGTGTGTAAAATTTTTTTGTATTATTTCACAACCAACAGAAGCACACACCAAGCAGAGCGGTGGGTACCTTGCCTCGTACTCCACAGGCCCCACCCATGGATGCATGCTGCAGTGATGGTCTGTCATCCTGCTCTATCAAAATAGCTAACAGTTTCATTCCCTAAAAACGAAAGAACCAAAAAAAAAAAAAAAGCTTTGTATTATTAAGAACTCCATTTTGCGTTTTATTTATTTATTTTTAAAGATTTTATTTATTTACT